AGTCTTACCCTTCTGAGTAGCTTAGTGGGATCGTCTAAGACCACTTCATAAATGATAAATATAAAGACCAAACCTCTTAGAATTGAGAATTTAATGAGTTATTGTATAAAATGCTTGAGACAGGCTATGGCACATATAAAGTACATTGTTACTTTAGATTTCTGTCATTATTTTCACCTGGCGCCATGAAACTTATGATTTGGCCAAAGTGACTACTTTTCAAGCTTTACCTCAATCATCACTTCACTCTGCCCCATGCTTAGAATGTTGTCTGTCTGGAAAAAGCCCAGGTTTTGCTCTCCAAGAAGCCACATATAATTACTCCAAGCATCTGGGTAGCACTCCTGCTTTGTATCCCTAACCCCTACGTACACTTTTATTTGAAGAATTGTGTATCTTCAATATTATATTATGAGTTTGGGTACAGGTTTTATCTTATTTGTGTCACAAGAGTTTAAGATGGACTAAGCACTCAACTAAAAAATTTACTGAAGCAATTCTTCTAACAAGCCACAGCAATGGAAGTGAGACATAACAAAATTTGGGTTGAGAGGTTTATATTTAGAACACAGATTATTATAGGCAACTTTTCATTTTTGAAGCTCAAAATTATTTACATTTATCAAAATACACTGTAATAAATTATTATGTCAATGGTTACAACTGAGCATAATTCTACTCAATCTAGTGTTTCAAATAGACATACTCATATGATCTCTGCCATCTCCTGCTACCCTTCAAATATATTTCTACAGGAGACATTTCTGTTCTGATGACAGATGAGGAAAAAGCTTTGCTGGATGGTGACTATTTTATCTGAAAGAATGTAAGAAATATCACAGTGTTTACTTTAGAAGTAAAACAAATGCTTTTAGTAAAGTAAAACAAATGCCTTATTCCTTTTTTGCTAAATTCTCTGACATGTGAATAAATTACATGTATATATGAACGATACTAGGAAACTCAACGAAGCTTACAAATTAAATACCTGCATCATCATACGTCTTCTAACTGTGTCAAAGGGATAAGAGAGTATTCCAGAGCATGTAGTCACAACTTGAGCAATGAAAAACGATACAAGAAATGGGGTTTCCTTTGGTTTTGGTAATAAGCCCTAGAAAAGAAAAATGTACCAAGTAACCATTTAACATTTCAAGATAGCTTAAATTCATAATTCACAGGATAATTTCTATGAATATATGAAGGGACAATTGTATTTAAAAATGCAAAGAAAACCATTTGAATTTAATAGTAGCAAGTACAGTAAGAAAGGCAAGTGACACACATGATTATATTTCAAAGGTACAGTTGAAAAAAAATCCTATCTGCTATTAAAGGAATATATTGCTAATGAAACCATTAACTGGAAATGATGGCAGCCAATAACCAAACAAGTTCCTCTGTGGCTCTTCACTGTGGAGTTGAAAAAATGAAAGAATGCCTGCCATTACCATAAACAGATAATTAGATGAGTATCTGTAAAGCTCTGAACTAGTGATGGAATATTTCTGCACTTTATAACTACTGAAGGACATAACAGAGAAAAGCAGAGGAAAAGGAGATATAAACTTTTCTATGGTTAAATAAATGTACTTGAGATACGATTTTCATTAATCTGTCCAAAAACATAATAATACTGGGAGTAATTTGTCCACACCACAATAAAAATGACATTCACCTACATTTATAGTAAGGAGGAAAGATAGATATAAGATTTTTCTCAAGTTTAAATTGTATTTTACAAATAATATTGATATCAGTTTTAGGGCTTCCTTTTGAAAGCATTTTGCTGTAGTGATTAAGAATATGGACTTTTAGTGCCAGCCCCACCCCTAGGGGCGTGCTGAGATGGCAGTTGAGACTGGACATGGTGGCGTGTGCCTGTAATCCCAGCTTTTGGGAGGCTGTAAACAGGTGGATCACTACGAGTCTGATCTAGTAGTCAGACACTAAACACCCTGTAGACGCTTCCCTAAAATTTAAAAAAAAAAAAAAAAAGAATATGGACTTTTAACTTGTTATTAGTAAGTAAATTATTTAACTTTTCCAGGCTGCTTATATTCAAAGTAAGGGTTTTAGACTATGTCAGAGAAAACAAAAATATAAACCAAAATGTGTAATAGATTTTGGGACATGGGAAGAAAATGTTCAAATGAGAAAAGGAGCAAGGGGAAGGGGGAAAGAAAAGAAGGGACATGGAAAAAATAAAAAATAAGGAGTGGAAGAGGGGCTAAAGGGAGAGAAGGTAAAGGGGAAAATAGAAGAATCAAAATGTATCATGTACAGTTACAAATTTCATATGATGTTATTATGTTCATCTAAAAATGTACCTTAAAAAATATAAGATACAAGAACACTGTTGGGATGTAAATACTCAACAAGATTCATAAAATGAAATGGCAAATTGCAAAGCTGCAAAATACAATATAGAATTTAACAATATCTAGTAGATAACCAAGGTATAATAACAATTATGCTTTCCTACAGTAATAGCAAGTTATTAAATACATTTATAATAAAATTAATACTGTAAAGGCATAAAAGCTGCTATATGTTTTTCTATGCTGAATATTTGATTATGATACAAGCCTAATTGGTATGTTTCCATGTGTGATATGCTGTAAAGTGCAAATTCCATGAAAATCTATTTTGATACATACTTTATCTGTAAAGTCAGATCCATATAGTTGTAATTTAATTTGATCATAAGTCATGATTAAATAGAATTTCATGTCTCATCATTTATCTTGATTTGCATAATTAAAAGTAACATATCTACTGAGCACATTAATTAGAATTTTAAAAATGAACATTTATTTAACATAACCAAATTAAAGTCCCAAATTACCTTAACTGTGTCATAAGCTCCAAAGTAAGAGGCTCGGTACACAATGATGCCCTGAACTGAAACACCAAATCCTTGGTATAAACCAACAATTCCATCGGATTTTGCTATTTTCACAATACAATCACCTAAACCCTTGAATTGTCGCTCTTCAGGGCCTATAACAAAGCCATCAAAAACTATTAGCAATGTTATATGTCAAACACTTTAATCAAAAGTAAGCAAACATTTTTTGCTTTTATTTAGTACAGGGTCTACAGAGCCTCACTATGTAGACCAAACTCGTAATGATCAACCTGTGTTCAGCCTCCCACGCGCTGGGATTACAGGCACATGCCACCATGCCCATTCTTAATCTCCATCTCAGTGAGCCCCAGGGGCGGGACTGGCACAGCATGCCAGGGATCAAACCTAGCTGCTATGCACTGCCGAAGCAGGTGCTTTAGTCCACTGAACTATCTGGCTGGCCCTTCAAGAAACATTTTAAGAGATTTAAATAACCTGAAACTTTCACAGAGAAAAAGGCAAAAATCTAAACTTCTGCTCATATGTATGCCTGCAAAATTGGAAATTTTTATTAAAAAATTATAAGACAAGAGAAAAAGTATTAACTGCTCCTTTCCATAGACCAGCTGCAATCAGCAGTATAATTATCCAAGATATCCTGCATATATATAGATCCATCTCTAAACAACTAATTTAAAGATAATATTGCAATACAACAAATATTATTGAATTTGTATTATTTTGTTTAGTGAAATTCTATATCATTTCTAATGTTTATTTTGTAGTCTCTTCAAAAAATGTTCAAGATTTCAAGTAGTATTTTAAAAGAAATTAACTGAAAAATCTCTTATAAAAACAGACTACTTGAAGCAATTGGACAGAATAATTCATTAAAATTACCATAAATAGCTGTGCTTGGTGGCACACACTTGTAATCCTAATACTAAGGAGGCAAAGGCAAGAGCATTGCCTTTCAACTTGTGTTGGAGGCCAACCTGGGCTACATAACAAGTACAAGGCCAGCTTGAGCTTCATAGTGAGATTCAATCTTGAAAACAACAACAAAAAAAATTACTACAAGTTATTAGAAGATATTTAGGTGAGGCAAAGGGAATCTCCAGGATGTAAGTTAAACCTCTGACCTAGAGACAAGAATAGGATACATGGAAAAATCACCTAGGAAATAAAGTGAAACTGAGAAGCTCTGTGCTCATTCTTCTGTTAAAATGAGCCTTCCCCTTTTTTCTTACAAGGTAAAAGAAAAAAATATACTTTAGGTGTTATGACTAGCATTTATTTGAGAATAAAATTTGTGAGCTATATTTGGGAACACTACTGATATAGCGTAATGATATAATAAATAACACATGGTCAAAACACAAGGAAAAGTTAACATACATAAAATTCCATACCCAAGAGTCACATGGAGAGAAAATAATCTCTCAGGCTTTCACAGAGAGCACACTGGCCAAGCAATGGCCATGGCTCATCCACATGGCTGACACTGACAAAGGTTCTACAATCTGAGGTACAGGATCTCAGGATAAATCCTGAGGGGATTTCACTGACCTTAT